GTATAAGATAAGGACTTTATAAAAGTGGTTGATTTCTAATTCTACAATGAGAAGGATGCAATTAGTTTGATTTGAGAGATAGAAGATGAAGGGAACTCCATAAACCTGCATAGGAACTAAATTTCTAATTTCCAATTCTACAATTAGAAGGATACAATTAATTGTACTTTGAGAGGTAAGAGATGAAGGAAACTCCATAAACCTGCACGAACAACAAAAGTAAAGTAGGTCAAAGACAATTAACAACCTCATAAAAAATAATAACATCAAGTAAAGCTCACAACATGGGTGATAATTGATACCCATATGAATTATGAAGTGCAAATCATAGACCGGGAAAGCTAGCATTATGTTTCCCCAAAAGCATAACATCAATTTGCTAAACCAGAGCCTTCGTGTTAAACCCAAAATCAGACTGTAACTTTCAGCTTCGGGGCGAGCCTGAAAAATAGGAGCAAAAGTGCCCCAGAGAATCGAGATTCTGGTGCCGGCTGAGAACCCTGTCAACGAAGAGGCATAATTTCACATCTCTCGGCCTTCTAAACCCTCAAACTGGTAGCGACGTGGGTAAAGCCTCAAACTGAAATTCGTGATAGCCAACTCGTTGTCCGTACCTCCATCGAAAACCTTCTGAGGAAAAGAAAAGAGAGAGCAAACTCATCTTAGATGAACGAAAAGACAAACTCTCGTTATCTCTACAATCATGTCAATTGTTTCATAGCCATGCCAGACATTAGTATGTATCACCAAAATGTTAGCTGCTCGAGTCAAGTACATTAGTTTACCTTTCTCAAATGACTGTTGGGAAGCTCGAAGCTTTGGAGAAACCAGTGTTCCGAACACAGCAAGGAATTTGTACTACTAATTTTTTACCTGTCAAACACCGCAATGCTAACTTAGCATGGGAAATCAATCCCATTTGTAAAGAACAATTCTATTCCAGAAACATCATAACTAAAATAATTAGTAGAAATGGCATTTCTGTTCGAATTCAGCCCACTATCTACAATGATACCACAAGGGTGTTCTTTCCTTTGTATTAACATGACCAAAAGAACAAATATAGCATAGCTATTCACCCTATCAGCAGTCTGAAGTCGAGCTCCTTTTCAAGACTTGCTAGCATCTCCTGTAAGGCAAAAACACATGTTAAATGAGAAACAAAAATACAAAATAAAGGCAAGCACTCTAAGTTGTAACCACCTTGTGCTTCTGAAATGTGAAGGTGTCATCAAACCATCGTTGTGTCACTCTACCATATGTTGTTCTGGCTAGGGCTGCAAATGAGCCGAGCTGAGCCGAGTCTTACCCCAGTTCGAGCTTGACTCGTTCACAAATGAGCTGAGCTCGAGCCCGAGCCATTTATTAACGAGCCGAGTCGAGTTCGAGCTAGGCTTGTTTACTAAATTCTTAGATCGTATTTAATACATTTATTTTGTATGTCGTGTATGGTACATGTAATTGATGTAGCGATAAAAAAATAATCAATTGTTCAACATTAATTAATCTTATATTATAATTTTTAGGTGTCATTGTTTAGTTAATAAATTTTAACTTGTTCAAATCATATTATTTCATAGTATCGAAACAATTTTGTACATAATTTCTTTATAGAATTAAAAATAAGGCGTATTTTCTTACATGTTCAACATGTTAAACTTCACATGATGTGAGATATATAATTTAACAATCGTATGAATTATAAAAGTCCAAATTAGATCGATTAGTCCATAAGTCAGTGATCAAGTTGGCCCTCAAACCACAATGTTGAGACATCTCATGAGCTCTAAATGAGCCAACTCACGAGTTAAGCTCAACAAGCCACCGAGTCGAGCTAGCTCGCGAGCTTCACGAGTTGAACATAGCTAGGCTCAAGCTTGGCTCGTCAGTAAACGAATCGAGTTTCGAACGAGTTTTTCCCGATTCGAGCCTCGAGTTGCTCGCGAGTAGTTTCGCTCATTTGCAGCCCTAGTTCTGGCACCGCCATGGATACAGTTGACACCATCAATCAATTGTGCAACAGTTTAACGTACCAAACACACAAACAGAGGCAAAAAAATCATGTTCTTCTCGATCGTTACCCTCCTCATGTATTGAAGAAAACTGATGAAAGATGGTCTACTAAACATAGCATCTGTAAGGAACCACCCACTTGATTCTTGAGTCAACAACTTGTGGACACACAAACTAACAACTATTAAAGGCTTAAATAAAAGCTAAATTAAATCATGGAAAATAGCTGGAGAATATAGGTATTTTGGAAAGGAAATAGAAAAGCGTCCACTTCTACTTTCCTAGGGTCTATCCCAAAACCAGCTAAAACAACAATCAAAATTCAAACCAAACATCACAGCTTCTACCTCAGAAAACGTTGGGCGAACACGGAATAAACCCCAGCAGCCTTACAAAAAGATACATAATGGAGCTAAGAATATTGAGCTAAAATTTTGAGATTATGTCGATGAAATTCGAGTCTTTCACCCAAGGCATAGAGATCATAAGAGAAAATTATAATCTCATACTCTGCAAACCAACGATCAAAATTATGCAACCAATAAAAAAACTTCAAATATTAAAAAATCAACACTTTCATCCTAAATTAAGAACGATGCTAAACAACAGGAAATCTAGTATTTTAAAAACATATCTTATAGAAAGAAAACAATCATTTCAAAGAACTTGAGGCATTGTAGAGCAACTATTAATGGATCCACCTCATGCACATGAATGTAGAGCAACAATGGTGTCGTGAGAATCAGAAATGGAGGCCTTCCCTATAACCTCAATCAAGCTAATACAAAACTGCAAGATCAGATTCTGCAATTTCGCTATGCCTCCTCGTCCTAGGCATTTAGTTAAATTCAACAGAATAATCTAAACTTTAAGTTATATATCAAAACGTTGATGCAAGGGCACCAAGCAATTAAGAACTCAAACTCATGTAAAGAGGAAGCCAATCTGTCTATAGTCCTAAAAATATAGGACATGTCAATTGGGGTGGACTTGGAGACCAAATCCACAGCTGAATCAAAGTTTTCACATAGATTTTTTGGAGTTTGAACAAAATCATCATAGACATGCCCAACCAAAAATGTCAAAATTTGTTTTGTTCACTCTGCAAAAGACAAACATTTATTTCAAATCTCATTCAAAGTCACTTTAACTGTTCAAGTGATTAATTAGGTGGAAGTTTCTCTGTGCATGTAATATTGTAATTTGTAGTGAGAATACAAACAATAAGAAATTCTTTTAGGAAAATTATTTTTAACTTGATAAAACAATGGTGTTTCACATGTGTAAATATTTTGTCATTAACTTCTTGCTTTAAATGAAACGCAAAAGAAGAAGAAAGAGTCTTACGATAGTGGAGGTAGTGCTTTCAGAGATAATGACGTTGCTGAGAAGAAAGTAGCTAGAGACAACTAATTGTGGAGATAGAAGTATAAAAAATTAGCAAGAAGAGCAAATATGAGACAATATTCATTTCTTGAAAGAGGTTAAAAAAATATGTTTCATATTTTAAATAAATTACCATTCAATTTAGCTCTTAATGAAATTCAAGAGAAGGAAGAGACCAATAATAAATATTGATAGTGGAATAAGAGGTGTTATTAATGGAGATGAAGGTATTGTTGTTGGTGGGGATGAAAATGCTATTGAGGAAGCAATCATTGAAGTCAAAAAGAAAATTTATAGTAATTCTAATTGAAGTGTGATATGAACACATTTTAAAATTCGACATTGATAGTCGGTTAGGATGTGGAAAAATTTTCAAATTTACAATTCATGTTTTTATTATATTTTTTCAATAATTTAATATTTGGATTAATTTATGATAGCAAATCAGAAAAATTATTATACAATTGATCAAATGTATCCGGCCAACAAGCCGGGTTCAAATCTAGTGTGAAAGATGGAAGAAATTTGGCGTTCCTAGATGCTTTCATCTACGCGCTAAGTGATCTTGCTCTATACACTTAGGTTTGTATATACGAGAATCTATCTAATCCATACTAGCTTTGTTCCCGGCCCGTTGGCCGGATAAACTCTCGTCTTGTCTTGTAAATTAATAATTTTATAATTATTTTTAAATAATTATAATCTTCTAAATATTTATATTTTAGCCATTTATTTTGAAAATTATATTTGTGATCTCTTGAAATAGACTTTTAAGATCATAACTAAGTAACATATATTTTCAAACTAATAGTCGACATTCAAATAATGGTTTTAAGCACTTGACCTAATGATACATATTTCTAAGTCATTCGATTACTATTAGTAATTACTGGCCCACAGCGAATTCTATCATATACACATATCAAAAGCGTCTACTAATATCTATCACATACACATATAATAGTTCAATTTTGCCTAATTTTTATTCATGACCTCCAAGAAGATGTAGAAAGCCTCGTTGTAGAATTTTATGTTTAGATTGACCAGTTAGAACACACAAATATACCATAGTTTACATGTTACATGAATGAATATATAATATCAAATTCTAAGTTTCAATCACAGTTGGTTATAAAACTAACGCATCCCATAAATTTTTATTCATCATTAGTGCAATAGACCAAAACAACAGCTTTATACCAGGATCAATATAAAAATTAAATCCTGGTGATTATCTATTATGATAATTAATCTAAAATTGAAAGATAAAGGGTTTTGTCAAAGGGCAGAGTTTCGGCTTATACGACAACCGGTGATTCCCCTACCGTCCGTAGCACCGTGTAGATGCTGCTGTAATCTCCATCTCCATCTCCATCTCCATCGTCAGATTCTTTTTCTGTCCGCATATGCAATTCTTCACCTCTGCTTCTACTTCTGCCGATACAGATATTATCTCAAGTACTCCCCCATATCTGTCGACTCCAACTCCGGTACAATTTTCCCCCGAACACTCGAGACTACCCCTCGGAATTTCAACCGATTCGCTAATGCTTCTTTGGGATGGATCTCAGTCTAGAGGGAGGGGGAAGGGATTAGGGACGATTGTATTGATATGTTGATTAGAGGGGATTCGATCTCGGGCGATTAATCGTCACAGAGCGGACTGTGAAATCAAAGGGCATCAGTCGATTGGGCATCGGTGACGCTTGCAGATGATTCATTGCTTTGAAGTTGGTAGTTGTAGGTTTCTCGTTTTCTCGACGTTGGAGACTCGGAGATAAAGTTTTGCAGACTTGGGAAGAATGAACATTTGCGGTGAATGGTAAGAGAAGTCTGAGAAGAAGGTTTTTTAATAGAGGAGGATAAAGAGAGCGGTATGAATCTATCTAGTTACATGAAACAGCCACCATTAGAGAATGGAATGGCAACACCCTCAAGGCAGCAACACCCTCAAGTTGCTTTTTCATCTTCCCCTATTTCTTCCCCATAACTTCACTTGGGTTGCCCTGCCCGTGAGAGATCTTCCTCAAGTTTACTAACTCGCTCTTGAAGACTCTTCTTCTCCTTGCTAGACTTCATCAAGGATCCTATAGCCTCCTTGTATTTGTTCTCAAGCTCCTCACACCGGTCAAGAAGTTGACGATACTCTTCTGAATCCGTCATTGCATATTCGTTCCTCATAGATTCAAGTGCAGCTTCCGTGAGTAGCTTCTCCTCCATGCTCTTTCGAATCATAGTTTCCAGCTTTGAAATCTTCTTGCAAGCTGAGTCTTGTAGTTTGCTAAATTTGCTTGAAAGAGACATTGAGGAGGCTTCGGCATGTGCACGACCCTGGGCTATTTCATCATTCAACACACCCTTTAATTTTTCAACTTGCTCAGATAAATGAAGCTTTTCTTTATCAATATCAGCCTTCAATTGGTGAAATAGCTCAGATAACCTAAGCTCCTCTTTACTGCCGAGGGACAGATCCATAGTCACACGGTTGAGAGTGCTCTCAATATGTTCCTTGTCAGTAGAAAGTTCCTTGATTTGCTCCTTGAGAACCTCAACTACTAGTTCATGTGCGAGGATTTCAATTTCACTCATTTTATCACCGACACAAGTCATCGTATCCTGAATCCGTGGCCGTGGTAATAAAAGCAGTAACACATAAGAGATCATAGACCAAAGGAACAGTTGCAGCAATTCAACAGCTAATTATAGCAACAAAGAATCTAGCCAAAAGCGAGGGAAAGTTAGTAATGGGCAACTGACCGGTCGTGGCGGCTGCTGGAGAAGACCGTAAACGAGGCGCGGCTGCCGGAGAAGACCGTAAACGAGGCGTGACTGCCAGAGAAGACGGTGGACGCGGCGCTTCTCCTGGAGAAGAATCGGTTCAATTATTAGGTTCTCGGTAGATCTTTGATGGAGGCCGACTTAGTATATATCACTAAGAGGTGAATTGCAGAAAAGGTCACTTGTTTTTGTGAGGCACTAACAAATCCTTAACTTTTTCTTCAATGTTAACAAATTGAATAATTGATCCCCTATGTTCTCGCTAACGCTAACTAACAAATCAATCTTTTCGTCAATTTTAATCAACTTTGTGTCCAAAATTGCCACATCATACCGTCATATCAACAAACCTTATATTAAATCGTTGTCCTTTTCCACTTCAGCCCTATGTCTAATTCTGTCGCCGGCACTAATGACGCCAAGATCTCTAAGAACTAATTGAGTTCTCTACCTATCTCAATTTGTGAATCATACTTTGGTAACACTTTAATTAATTGTTGCTTTCTTTTTTAAACTAGTTTATGATACTTTACAATCTCGATGGAAAGTCAAGTGAGAGTAACAATGATGGTCCAAGCCAAAGCTTTCATATTGATCATAGCCCCACAATTGACGTTGAAAGTGTTGATTACGATTCCAATAGTCAATCCTAACGAGGAGAATGAAAATCTTCATGTTGACGATGATAATAGACATTTTGCCCGTATTTTAAAAATCTAGGCACAATACTATTAGATTTTGGAAGATAACAATATCTATGAGTTCACGCATATAACCCGAATAATTTCTTTCAATACTAAAACATTCTTAGATTATCAAAAAGTTCCACAATTATTAATATATAATACTAAAATACGGGTTAATTGCATGGTTGGTTACTGAAATTACAAAAAACGTTTAAGTTTGGTCACTCGAAATATTTAAATCTATTAGTGGTACTTCAGTTTATTGAAACCGTTCACGTTTGGTCACTCTCCGTCCAATTCCGTTAACTTTTGCTTACATTGCGGTCAACTCTAAAAGTTGACCGTTAAATGTGTGACGTGACAATTCAAAAATAATAATTATTTAAAATTGACATCTCATTTCCACCTCCTTATCACTTTTATTCAGAATAAATAAATAACAATTCTAATTTCTTCTAATCCCCAATACCAATATCAGAAAGATGCAGCGACTTCACTAAGCACCCAGAATCCGATCCCAAATCCTCCATGGAAATCACATTTGATGAGTACCTGATAGTGCCCTTCGGAAGCTCCATCTCCATGGCTTCAAGCAACAGCTTCCTCTGCACACATCGAGCTTCATTCTTGTTACAAGAGAAAGGCACCTCTGTGCTGGGGATGAGTTACCATCACTTTCCCTAAGAGGGATGTGAGATTCACATCCAAGGGAAATTTGGGTATGAAAAAAAAATTTATTATTTATTTATTTTTATATTAATTACATATTTGGGAATTAAAAACTCAGCCTAAATACTTTTTCAATTTAAATCCTACAATTATTACGCTTATATATATATATATATATATATATATATATATATATTATATATATATATATCTTTTCCAGTAACCTCTTCACTCCGACCGCCAAACTTTCTCCGGCCGGCAACTTTTTTCCGACGAAATCCACCAATCAGACTCACTCCGGCCATCTGCAAAAAAAACCACTCCGTCAGTGCGCTAATGGTAGTGATTTTCATCTAGTGGTACGCTACTAGTAGTAGTGGTACGTACTAGTGGTAGTGGTACACTACAAATACCACTGGTATCGCTACCACTGAGTACTGGTACGCTACCACTACTTATTGGTACCGCTACCACTTGTAGCGTACCACTAGATAGAAATCAGTACACTAGAGAATAACATTAAAAAAACAAGAACTGGAATCTGGAAAATCCCAGATCTGAAAAAAAAAATTAAGGAATGAGGAAAGGAGAAGGAAGGGGAGAGGTCGTTACCTCGTGGCGACAGAGGAGGACGGCGGGAGAGAGATGGCGGTGACATGAGTTGGAGGGACGACGGGAGGGCTGCGACGGGGAGAGTGTTATGGCGCAACAGTGGCGGGAGGCGGAGGACGCGACGGCTGCGGCAGGAGGGAGAGATGGTGGCGGTGGCGACGGGAGGGAGAGCCACGATGGTGGCGACGAGAGGGGATGGCGAGGGCGACGGGAGGGAGAGACAGAGAGCAGTTAGGGTTCTCGGGAGAGGGAAGAGAGAGGGGAGAGAGGAAGAGTTTTTTTTTTAGGAAATCAGATTATATAGAAAATGAGAAAGGATCACATGTAGGAAGTTTTTCTCTTCCAAAAACACCCTTCATTTAATCTAAACCGTTAATTTGAAAAACCAAGAGAGAGAGTGGATCTAATGGCTGCGAAGGAGGAAGCGAAAATCACAACCCCTACGGGGGTTGTGACACTATCTAAGCCCCTGCGCGGGTCTGTTATGTAATCGTGGAAGCAAGCACCACTCTAGCATTTCATCAAATACCATCCATGTATCAGTTCAAAAGAAAAAGCCAGAAAAGCTTCTGCATTAACCCAATATTCAATCACAATCTCGAAAGGCTATAACTATTCTACCCATCAATCAGCTTATGTTGCTAGCGAAGGGCGTCCCCTAACCCTGATATGATCCCATTTGGCTCAATCTACAAGCCAGAATGGATTGAATCAAAATCCATCACAAGATATGAAATGAAACCCAAATTTTGCCAAAGTGTTTTATCCGTTTCAGCTGGTGAGTTTCTCTACAAGATAGAGTCTTTTGGAGCTCAAGAACAAGGCAGGAAGGTCATGGTTAAAGCATCTCAAAAAGCTATGTTGAAACTTGAATTCTGCCAAAAATTGGCTAAGTGTCAGAACCAGTTTGAGGACCCTACTTTGGAGGAGTGTTCGAAGCACATGGGGGAGAGTCGAGGCTGGATCTTTGTGCAACATGAAATTAGATTTCTTCTACTAAAATGACATGGCGTTGGATGACTAGAATGAAGAATGGAAGGCCTCAAACGAAAGCTCCAAAGATCGTATCGAAGCTGAGTTTCTGTCTTTGGAAACCAGGCAATCCAAATCTTTATCGGATTAGGATTCCTTTACTGTTTTGTGTTTAATTCCTTTCCATTGTTGGTTTTTATTTCCTTTTTCAATTGTAATTTGTTTAGGACTTCTCTAAGAGTAGTAGGATTGGCTAGGTCTATTTAAGTAGCTTTGATTCATTGTAATTTTCAGATCTCATAGAATTGAATACAAACTTGAGTTTGGTTCACAAAGCTTGTTGCTTTCGTGAGTTTGAGAGTTGTTTAGAAGGAGTTCTAAGTAGGGGTGTTCAAATGTTTACCATGGTTATTACCAAACCAAATAAGGCTAAATTTCATTAACCATGGAATACAATATCATAACCAAACCGTCCAAACTAATACAACAACCAAATTAACCAAACTAAATTTTAATCGGTTTGGTTAATTGGTTAACCAGATTAACCAATATAAAATCACATTATCATTAAGTAAGAATTTTTTTGGTTAATTTATCAATTCATAATTTATATAATGAATAAAATATAACAATCAACACATAGTTATAGTTGACCCTTAACATAAATACATGCAACTAAGACAATTATCTTACGGTTAGTATAGAAGTATTCACCTACCAAAAATTTATCACAATGGTATGGGTTAATGAATTGTTATGTTTGTTGGAATTGACTTAGTCTTTTAGCAATCTTCATAGGCTGAAAAGGACCTTGTTTTCAAGTTTTCATCTAACATAATGCATGAGATTTATCTAAATTAGGCGTTCATATATTGTGGTCTACACTCTACATATACAAATATACATTATAGAAACAATATCAAGCTTTATATTTTATGAGTCTAAAAGGGATGAACGTTTAACTCTTGAGTGGTTATTCAAAGTATTAAGTATTTGTATATATTAGATATATGGCTAATTATTTATCTGGTTAATTTGGTTTGGCTGGTTATGAGTGTCTGAAACCAAACCAAACCACCTAAACCAAACAAACTAAGAACTTCAACCAAACCAAACCAATTATCCAAATTAACCAAACCAAATTATCCAAATAGTATTGGTTAAAACGATTACCATGGTAACCACACCGTTCGAACACCCCTAGTTCTAAGCAGCTTGAGTGCTTGTATCGTTCAGCTAATCACGCTGCTCGTGGCCGAGCTTCTACCCATAGTTTACGAGCCTTTCTCCCTTTGTGAGAATTGCACGAAACTTCCACCAATACACATTCAAACCATACCCTGTTTGTGGAGTTCTTGCTCGAGGGAACTCTTGGATTCCTTAGTTGTGCTATTCTGATCAATAAACCTCATCTAGGGGGTTCATCAAACCCAAGAGCATCCAGAGCTCTCCAAGCATTCGTCCATGTCGCCAGAGCAAACCCAGTACCCTCAAGCTCGGTGTTGACTCCAGCACCAGGCTTCTGATTCCGAGCCTGCACAGCAGAGTTGAATTGAAGTTATCCAGTACTTACAAGTTACATATCGGTCGAGAAAGCTTTGGGATTGGGGTGGTTACCTGTGAAGAGCTAAAGATGTTGCTAGTCCAGCTATCTCAGCTCCAACTATCACTAATCCCCAATATCAATCCTCATTTTCTGTCGGCGGGGTATTGGTATTGGAGATTAAAAGAAATTAGGGTTTTTTATTTATTTTGAATAAAAGTGATAATGAGGTGGAAATGAAATGGATATTCTAAAAATTAATTTTATTATTTTTAAATTACCACGTCACACATTTAACGGTCAACTGTTAGAGTTGACCACCATGTAAGCAAAAGTTGACGGAGTTGGACGGAGGGTGACCAAACGTGAACGGTTTCAGTAAACTGAAGTACCACCAATGGATTTAAATATTTCGAGTGACCAACCTTGCACATTTTTTGTAATCTCAATGACCAACCATGTGATTAACCCGCTAAAGTACACTATTTTCATTTGTTTTAGTAACCTATAAGCTAATGTAAACAAACCTAATACGAACCTAGATATCAAGTACTGCTCCCTAATAATAATTCTGGTGTAGTTGTTTCTATTTTATCCACCTTTGTGCACTCACATTACCTAGCCATCCAATATGTTTTAGAGAATAAAAATTTAGTTTTCAACCGATTTTATTGCATGTATTTAAGTTCCTACTTTTAGATGTAGTTGATCCTATTTTATCTTTATACACTTGTCTTATCTCGGTCGTCCAATATTTTTCTTAATCTATTTCTCGATTTGAGAATCAAGATTGATTCATATGTCATCTTTGTGGCAACATACCGGTGGGTTTTTTTTCCAACACTGCTTCATCCTCTATTTGAACATGAAAAATATTCATCTTCATTGTGTTGTTTTCTGAATTTTCCTAACACTTTCCTCAATTTAAAAATCACGATGGTTCCCTATTGTTTCATTACATCCCTACGTACTTCTTGATTTGACAAAGATGATAGATCCTAAACTAATGGGTTAATTGTATGGTTGGTCACTGAGATTACAAAAAATGTTCAAGTTTGGTCACAGGAAATATTTAAATTCAATATTGGTCACTCAAATTTATAGGTGTCAATCGGGCGGGTTCGGGTTGGGTTCAATCGGGTTCGGGTTCAAACGGGTTACGGGTTAGTCTGGTTGCGGGTTAGTCGGGTTTGGGTTCATCGGGTTTGGGTTCAAACGGGTTGCGGGTTAGTCGGGTTACGGGTTTATCGGGTTCGGGTTCAATCGGGTTGCGGGTTCACCGGGTTCGGGTTCATCGGGTTTTGGGTCGGGCGGGTTGCGGGCGGATCGGGTTTCGGGTTGTTCGGGCCAGCGCATCGAATAACTTACTCTTTACTCGTTACCAACTTACACATTTTATTACACTATTTTAAAATATTTTTCTCAACTTTTTAACCAATTTATTTCTACCTCGTATGTATATATACTTAATTTTTTTGAAAAAAAACTAGTCAAAATGTTAAATAAATTTGTATGACTTGCAAACTTGTTATGTAATTAATCATAATTGGTAAAGTACACTAGCTAATAGTAATGATGATATTAATATTTGCAACCAAAAGACACCATTAATTGTTTATTTGGTATTTTAGTATTAATTCAGTAGTAATTAGATTAAAGTATCTCGTTTAGTATAACCATGCAAATCTGGTATTTGGCTTGTGGTATTTGGCAAAAGCAGAGTGATAAAAGGAGTTATTTCGAAATAACTCATTGCCCAAAAGTTGAAAAGTCAAAAGTTTCCCTCCT